AATACTATTTTTAATACAAGACAGTATGTTGTATGCTCATGTACTTTAAACAACAAATTATTATTTGTTAAACTTTTTTGCAATACTTTTTTTTCAAACTTACTCTGAACCATAATATATATTTTTTTACAAAAGAAACAGTTTTGAATACTAGTGTAAGTTTTTAGTAAAAGATTGTTATATGTATTACGATCAAAAGTAAATTATGAGTTATTATTTAGTATTGGCAAATAATGTTCTGTTAGTGGTAGTAGTAGTATAAATTATTGTTACATACTTTAATACATAAACATTATGTAGTGAGCTCGTTTCCAGTGTTTGTAGGTATTTACAGTTGATAGTACATTTACCAATTACTAGACCTCAAATGTAGATTAAAAGAAAAGTTAAGTTAGGAAGATAGGCACAGTTTTTTTAATAAAACATTATAAGAAAATGAAACAAAATCCTTTGCTTTATTGAAAATGAAACAAATTTCTCTCTAAATCAATATTTAAAATTCTATTTTATTATATGTATATTTAATAAATTTACATCATTTATATTATGGTACTGTCAATGAAAATGTTTCTGTTCATTTTAAACTGTTAATATTATGAGTTATTACAAATCACAAGTAAATCATTACAATAATTATGATGGACTCTGAGTCTAGTACTTTACTATTTAATAAGTCTAACAATTATTTTTTACTAGCTTTCCGCCCGCAGCTTCGCCCGCGTGGAGTTTGGTTATATCGCGTTTCCAAGAGAACCTTTCAAAAGTCTGGGATAAAAACTATCCTATGTTCTTTCTCAAGGTTAACTCTATCTCTGTACCAAATTTCATAAAAATCAGTTCAGTGGTTTAGGCGTGACAGCGTAACAGACAGACAGACAGATTTCCTTTCGCATTTATAATATGTATTAGTAGGGATAAAATCCAAGCAAATTCATAATTACTGACCATATTTGTAAAGTGATTGTTATTTCAAAATCAATAGATGTTGTCATTTCTTTTTATTTCAGGATTATACATCACAAGAATATAAAGATTCAGCGACAGATATCGAAGATAGAAGCGAGTGAGTGTGAAGAAAATATAGGAATAAGACAGAGAGTACAACAAACAGACAGACCAAGAAGAAAATATATACATAGAAGAAGATGTGTTAGAGTTATAGAAGACTTGATGGAGGCTGTGAGACCTTTAGTGACTATAGATAGTATAGATAGAGAGACGAGATACTGGTTCATAGGGAGACATGTGAAGGAGAGACTGAACTATATGAACAGACACGACGCGGAGAAGAAGAAGATTGAACGATAGAAGAGAGGGGGAGGGTTATAAGATTAATAGAATACACCGCCTGGGGCAAGTGATGATGATCTTGTTGTATGAATAGATTCGGTAACCGGTACAGTCTGTGTGAACTATAAATGTATTGACATTAACTTCGATTAATTCGATTCGAGGTCCTTATATACAGGGTGACTGGTGAATTACTATCAATATTTAAGGAGAATACTCGGTACATGATTCTCATTCGAATTATGTAAAAAAAAAATAGGTACTTAATTTTTGACCAAATTTCCGTATAAATAAATAAAGTGTGGATACGTTCCAAGTGTTCCAAGTGTGGACGCGTGCGGCGGCGTGCTGAAACAACACCACGCCGTCAAAAACGCGCGTGTGTGCGTGTGTGTGTATACCTAATCTGTAGGGTGTTCACACGACGCGTAATTAATTACATAAACTTTTGGTTAACTTTACTTAGAAGTTTATTAATATTTATGTCATATTAATTTTTATTTTGTCTTATATGATCGTCAAATATCACGTCCTCAAGTATCGATAGTAATTCACCAGTCACCCTGTATATACAGTGGCGTGCACAGAGATTTGGGGTAGAGTAAGCAGAATATGTTTGAAAAATAAAATACAAATTTTCATCATTGCAATGATGATATCTTTCGCAAGTAGTGATGAAACTAATATTTTTATCAGGCAGACGAGGTGCCTGCCGTGATCACAGTTACTCAAAGTAATCGAAACGTCGGGAGAGTACTTTTTAAACATAATAAAATACCGATGTCTAATCAGAAACTATTAGTTTCATTTAATCATTGATAATACATATTAGTACATAATGTTACAGAAGTGTGATCAGAACGAACATCTATATACTTTATGAATCTCTCAACTACCTCTGAGCCACGAAAATATCTTAAAACGATTACGATATATTCATCACAGCTTTATAAAAGTTATTTAAATAGGAATATTCAGTAGAGATTCAAACAATCTTATAATTATCATTTGAAAACAGCAAACAAGGCAAACAAAATAACTTATTTGTACATAACCTACTAACTCATCAAAACTATCATAATACTTTTTATTAAAACGAATAACAGTACCTTTCTTTCAGTTCAATCTCAACTGGTCATACACCTTGACTTTGCACTTATTTTAATTTTATTATCAAACGACAATATTGAAAATCTACTCGTTACTAATTTCAATTAACACATATCACAAGCACAGAGCTCACAGCTATAATTTTCCATAATTCGTTTATAAATTAATCCACTGTTTACTGTTTAAAACTTATTTACTTGCACTTAGAAAGACAAATGAATATTCAATAATAATAAAATGGTGAAAAAGTATATAAACAGTTAACCGATCAATCAGAGTCCCGTCTCGTGCAAATGACTCCATTTTGCTATTTTAATTTCTTGATTTTGTTGAAATCTTAAATTTTTTGTCAATAAATTGTTCCTTAAGCCTTTGAGGAGATGCGGTGGGTCAAAAATTGGTATGATATTTTTTCCATTTATTTCAAATCCCAAACTTTTGGTCTGGTTGACTGGTCGCAAATTGTTGATACTTCAATTAGTCCAGTGCTTTGTATTTGTGTTATTACATTTTTAATGATAACATTCAAATCAACACTTTTTGTTGCAGTCTGGCAAAAAGTAAATGAAATTGGCTGTTTATATTTGCTTTTAAGGCGTTTAATTTTATGTGAATCAAAATCTTAAAATCCAATGATTTCGTCCATTTTTTTTTGGAAAAATAAGCCCAGTGATAATGCCAACTCATCAAATATTAAAGTACACAGTTTTTTCATTACTTCGTGACTGCTTTTTTAATATGTTCAATAATGATGTCATTTACACCTGGGGTAAGGGATATACAGCTTAAAACTTTCTGCATGGTTCTTTTAGATGGCAAACAAAATAGTTTTTGTAATACATTATAAGCCTTTTGACTTTGTTTATATATAGTCAAGCACAGTATCTTCTCCTGTGTAGTAAATCTTCTTCCTCTTGGCAAAATAGATGATTTTTTCAATTGTAAATTTGAAAAAATTCTTATTGGTTCTGGAAGATTTTCTATGGCTTTTAAAAATATCTTATTCTGTGACAGTCTTTTTGCCTGAAGAATAAGTTTCTTTTGGGTCTTACATTTTTCCTTCAATTTCAGAAGTCGAGCCTTTAACAGCCTTAACTCTTGCGAACAGTTTTGTGTTCGAGTTTTAACTGAAATAAATAAAGTATTTGTTTTATTGTAACATGATAATAAAATATATAATAATGTTTTTGTTATTTTATCTAATAAAAACACTATTGATATGGCATTGCATTATCTGGTAACTAAAAATCTATATTTATCAAAAAAATTAAACAATAAAGAGCATGTTTTATAAATATTGATATACATAGTTAGTTATGTTTAATAATGTATACAGAAGTATCTCTAACAACAGGACTAATAGTAGTCATAAGGGATTTCAGATAATCAATTAAATGATGAGAAGACATTTTTGAACATGTTATATCTGTATTTACTTAAACAGGAATCAAGTTATCTAAAACCGGGATTAATTGTTAGATAATGTGAACGCAACCTTAATTAATTTCTTTATGTTGTATATCCTTTTTGCTGTTATGTTGACATTACTTTTTTCACTTCTTTAAATGGTGTCTCTAACTAATTTTTCTATTAATTGAATAAATACGTTTTGTGCATTTTTATATCCGACAAGTTTTATTTCTGAATCATCCACAAATATCAACATGGTAGCAGAGCGTGGTTGATAAAAATAAAACGAGAAAAAGGAAAACAGTATAAAAACCGGCCGGCGTATTTGTTCAGTCCGCCATTTTGAGATTACACGTAATCGAAATCGAAATTGAACTGGAGCGGCGTGTGTTCAGAAATAAATTAGTTAAATACTGCCGAAACATCATTATTTCTACGCGAAAAAGATGTCCAGTACAGGCCACAACTCTTTCAACATTGATAGACTTATCGGAAGAGAGAATTACGCTAGTTGGAAATTCGCCGTGGAAGCTTATTTCAAGCTAGAAGATTTGTGGAGTTGTGTTGATGGCACCAATACAGACAAAAGAAAGGAAGTGAATGCGAAATCGAAGCTCATTTTACTTCTAGATCCGATCAATTATGTACACGTGCAGAGCGCTGAAACTTGTAAAGAAGCTTGGAACAACCTACAACAGGCTTTTGATGACAGCGGATTGTATAGGAGAGTAGCTTTACTGCGAGATCTGATCACAACTACTTTGGAAAGTTCCCGAAGCGTAGATGATTACGTTAACAAAATAATGTCAAACGCACACAAACTCAGAAATATTAAATTTCATATTGATGATGAATGGCTTGGAACGCTGATGTTAGCAGGTTTACCGTTAACGTATAAACCTATGATTATGGGCTTGGAGAGCTCCGGATTAAAAATCAGCGCCGATTCTATCAAAACTAAACTCCTGCAGGAAGTTCAATGCTCAGAGAGTACAGCATTCTTCACTAGGAAAATAGCAATCCAAGGACATCACAGCAATACAAAAGTTCAGTACAAAGGGCCCCGTTGTTTCAATTGTAACAAGCATGGACATTTAGCCAAGAATTGTCGTGATCAGAAGAAGAAAAATAAAGAAAAGTCAGATGAAAAAAGGAGTTTTGTTGTTGCAACATTTTCAGCATCTTCTACTATGAATCCGGACCTGTGGTATGTGGACTCGGGTGCTTCTATGCATATGACGAACAGAAAGGACTGGATGTATGATGTAACAAGTCCACCAATACCCTCCATAACTGTTGCTAGTAAGACACCACTGCCAGTTGAAAGTATGGGAAATGTTAATTTATTCTTAAATGGTAATAAACAAGACAAGATTCAGGTAAGACGAGTATTATACATTCCTAAACTTGCTGCCAATCTCTTCTCAGTAAGTGCTATGGTGAAAAGTGGCTGTAAAGTAAATTTCACAGACAAGAGTTGTAATATTTATGATAATAATGGAAAGTTCCTGTGTTCAGCCAGTCTAGTAAACAATCTGTATCAAATAAATACTCACTGAGAAGTTTTTTCAAACCTGACATGTACAAATAACTTAAATGATATTGTTCTATGGCATAGGCGCATGGGGCATCTGAACTTTACAGATGTGAAGAAGTTGCCGGAGTGTGCAGAGGGAGTCAATGTGTTTCCAAACGAAAGCATCAGTAACATCACATGCACCACCTGCCTTGAAGGTAAACAAAGCAGACTGCCTTTTAATAACATTGGATCCAGAGCTTCACACCCATTGCAACTCATCCACACAGACTTATGTGGACCGATGGAACAAGCATCACTGGGAGGTATGAAATATTTTATTACCTTTATTGATGACTTTACAAGAAAGGTACATGTATATTTTTTGAAAGACAAAATGAGTGTACTCGAAGCGTTCAAAGATTTCAAAAATAAAGCAGAGAATGAGCTTGATAGGAAGATAAAGATTGTTCGGTCAGACAATGGTAAAGAATATTGTAACAAAGAATTTGATATTTTCTTGAGTAGATATGGAATTGAACATCAAATGGGTACTCCGTATTCACCTCAACAAAATGGCCTTGCAGAGAGGATGAATAGGACATTAGTGGAAAGGGCCAAATGTATGTTGTTTGATGCCCAATTGTCAAAGAAATTGTGGGGAGAGGCTTTGGCAACAGCGGCTTATATCATTAATAGGTCACCCACCAAGTCAATTGATGGAAAAACTCCTATAGAGATGTGGTCCGGTAAGAAACCTAATTTGAAAGATATGAGAATTTTTGGCTCAGAAGTAATGACTCAAATACCTAAAGAGAAACGCTAAAAATGGGATTCTAAATCTCGAAAACTTATTTTTGTGGGATACTGTGAATCCAGCAAAGGATACCGGCTATTTGATTCAACAACAAATAAAATTATCAAGAGTAGAGAAGTGGTATTTTTAGAAAATGTGCAAAAATTCGACACTAATGTGTACATACCTTCTGTATCAAACAGCGGTCCTGAAGTGCTGTCACCTGAAGAGCCGTGCAAAGAAGAATCTGTAAATACCTTAGAAAACTCTTCAAGTGATGACTACCTTTCCGATGACAATGATGATCCAGCCTACATACCCGAGCGTTCAGTGGAGACACCAGTACGTAATATTAATTTGCGCCCACGTAGAGCTGTCCAGTATGGAGAGAAAGATGACCATGATGTAAGTTTCTTTTGCCCTATTCTTGATTTAAATGAACCTCAAACTGTTGATGAAGCTCTTTCATCTCCAAGTGATCAGTGGAAAAATGCGATACAAGAAAAATATGGTTCTCTAATAAAGAATAAAACTTGGTCATTGGTTGATTTACCAGCCGGACGTAAAGCCTTGCCATGTAAATGGGTGTATAAGAGTAAAACAAATGAAAAAGGTAAAATTATTAATTATAAGGCTCGATTAGTCATAAAGGGATGTGCTCAAAAGAAGGGAATTAACTTTGATGAGGTGTATGCACCAGTTGTAAGATATAAATATAGTTGTAAATGGTTGTAATATGGTTGCCGACAGTTTAACTAAAGGTGTAACTTTTGAGAAACATTTATATTGTTTAAAAGAAATGGGTTTGCGTTCTGGAGGGAGTGTTAGATAATGTGAACGCAACCTTAATTAATTTCTTTATGTTGTATATCCTTTTTGCTGTTATGTTGACATTACTTTTTTCACTTCTTTAAATGGTGTCTCTAACTAATTTTTCTATTAATTGAATAAATACGTTTTGTGCATTTTTATATCCGACAAGTTTTATTTCTGAATCATCCACAAATATCAACATTAATGTTTATTAAAAGACAAAAAATATACATATTTGTCGTTGTAAACAAATTACCTACAGACATAATAATTAAATACAATTTTAATATATTGCAGTTTTATTTCATAAATGACTACTAACGAAAGCTACCATCAATATTTTGCAGAAGAAAATATGAAATAAATCTCGATACTTGCAAATCTAGTGATTATGCTGTTTTATAATTTAAAAGTAAATATACCAATCATAGTTAATTTTAATCTTAGTTATATGCCCATGACTTACCTTTGGGAAATAATTGAGAGGAATTAGGAGAACTCCTTTGTAGATGAACTTGATTCATATTTAAATCCAAGTGGTGACTACAAGATGCATCATTGTCTTCTTTTTGTGTATCAACACATTTTTCAGTTTCAACAGAATGTGATGAGTGTACAGTCTCAAATGTTAAAGCTGATAAATAAAATAATTTTTTTTAAACAAATAAATATATTAAAAGAAAAGTTTAATAAAAAATCTTAAAATTGAATGATAACATATTGTCTTGATTGTATCTTCCTTCCTCGTTTCTTTTAGAGTTTCTGATTGAATGTAAATAGACTTGTAATTTTTACTGAATTAAACACAGCCCTTATTATATTACATAAAAAACTATAAACAACTTTTTTTGGTTTGTAGTTATCCAGTGAAATTATAATCTCTGCATATTAAGACACTTTGTTTTTGTTTTACCTATGTAAAGAAGTGACACAAGTAGTTATTTTTCAATACTGTTTGTAGGAACTTTCCCTTATTTATATAAAAAAAGGTAATAAAGACCGCACATTATAAATCTATCAAACCACATGTAAGTATATAAAAATGTTAAGATGACTTGTATGTACCTATTTCATTATATTCAATTAAATCTAATTTTTGTTTTTTATTTTTAATTATGGGCACCAATTTCTAAAGTAAAATAATAATATTGTAAAATATTATCTATAGCTATAAAATATAATTGATTATTTATAGTTTTTTTTTTATATTTGTATTATGTATTGTGTGCCTATAACTACTTGGGAAGTTGCTTACTTTAGATACTTACTTAAGTATAGAGTTGGTACAGCACTTTGAGTGAGTCATTTACTTGAAGAATGTTAAAACTGTTCAAAATGACGATCACATATTCTTATGTTGTTATAAATGTAAGAATCTTCCTTTTGTTTCATGTCTTCATTTAAAATATTTTTCCATTGAATAAATTTCTCCAAATTTGGGTATTCAGGTTTAGGAAATTGATGAAAAGGACCTGAAATATTTTTATTAGAAGTCAATAAACTGTTACGGTTAAAATTGATGTAACCAGAGTAGTAATTGTTTATATATATATACATATATATGACAAATAATATTTTTATAGATTTTACTAAATAAGTATCGTACCTTTAGTCGCACACCGAAAATAACACTTAAAAGCCGATTTCCATGGCATTTTTTCAACTTATCGATAATCCAAATTCGTAGTTTGCAATCAAAATCCAAATGATTAAGGCCGGGGTCGATCGTAGTCGCAGAAAACCAAGTCCAATTGAAAAAAGCCAGGATGCATCGTCAAAAGCGTGGAAATAGGAGTCAATAATATATTAAGCCAGCTCAAATGTTTGAAAAAGAACGTAAAGCACAAGAACAACAGTAAACAATGGCAAATGAGCAACTGATTACGGAAATGATTTAAATTTTGTCCTCATGATTTAAAATTTTTAATTTTCTAAAAGTGTCTAAACAACTACAAGTGTAAGTTCCACGAAGGTTGATACAGCGTAATAACTAATTTCAATAAACACATATCACCAGCACAGAGCTCACAGCTATAATTTTACAGAATTCGTTAATAAATTAATCCACTGTTTACTAATTAAAACTTACTTCACTTGCGCTTACTGCTTAGAAAGACCAATAACAATATTCAAAAACAACAAAATGGCGAAAAAATATATGAACAGTTTACCGACCAATCAGAGCGTCCCGTATCATTTGACAATTAACGAACGAATGGAGATAGATGGCACTTATTAACAAATCATAAATCAAATATCGTTTTAAATATATGTTAATATTTGTTATTCGTAATGTTTATTAAAAATGTGTAAGTAAGTATTAAACAATATAGGTTTAGTTGTTATATGGGTAGGATATGCAATGCTTATTTGCATCTATGGTATGCACGTGTTACAAAATGTATTAAAATATTAGTATATATTACAAAATAAAGTCTTATACATATTGAAAACATAACTCTTAAATTATAGAAAATATTTTAGTAAATAATATTTAGAAAGCGGGTTCCAATTTAACAGTATATTAAACACATATTTGACATGTTACCGCTTTTGTACCTAAGTCTTATTCTTACTTTTTAATAATAATTCCTTAGTTATAATCAGATAATAATCTAAATACAATAAAATATATGTTTTTAAAGTTTTAACAGTTTTTAAACAAAGCTGACTCCAATATAATTATATAATAATAGTATATTAGACATTCTTTTGACAAATAATTGACGACGCAACACTTTCGTAAGTCAAATCCACACTATTCGATTATTTAAACTGTAAATGACAAGATATATATTTAAATACAAATAGTATATTTAATAAACATTGTATAATTATAGAACATATATCCTAATACACGCCACTGAGTAATAAGACAGCCAAAGTAGTGTTTGTTGTAAATTTTCTGTATTTACAATTAACTGACTTGAGAGTGTTCACTTACAACTGACATTAAGGCTCTCAATAAATTCTTCAGATGCATAAATTTCTGTTCCACCAAAACTATAATCATTATTCCGTAGATATTTCTCTATAACTTCCTTCAGTCTGCTTTGGGAGCGTTCAAGTATTACGTAAAGCTATTTTGGGGGAGGTGGGGGGGGGGGGGGCTCGTAAAACGTTACGATCCGTTACAGGGGCGGGAGGGGGTGTCTCTAACAAAACGTTACGTAGCATTGTTTCTAAACAAAATATTTTAATAAAAACCCCCAAACTGGCAACTCTTTTCATATACGTTACATTATGTTCACCAGATTGTATTAGTCTGGTCGATATTTTTATTTGTTATTCCAAGTTTGCAAATCTCTTAATTGATATTTTACTGGGAATACCTAGATTGCATTGTAAGTCTTTTAATGTTGCTTCCGTGGTCAGTATTCGTTGGTGTTTATCCGTGAGTTCATATTTTTTATACTGTAATTTCTTCAGAAGAGGGAGATTTGTGTCAATGATCTTTTTTCATTTAATAGATTAAAACTATACAGTATTATTACATATTGTTTTACGACTTTGGATGAAATTGATCACTTGAGTGTTACATAACGTTTTGATAAGCTACAGAAAACGTTATTGTGCGTTACGAGGGGGGAAGGGGGGGTCAAAAATATATATATTATTTTTATTTTTTTTTATTTATTTGGGACAACAAACATTTGTACTTACATCTGTGAAAATATATTTTATACAATTTTTTAAACTTAATATATGTACAAACCACACCGTTATCCACAACTTACATTAAAAAAAAGAAATAAAAGAGATATTAAATATATACATAACAATATTAAATATATACATAACAAATATAAATACACATACATAATTACACACATACTCACATAATAAATATATTATTTGATTTATATTATTACTGTTAACTATTATTATTATTTGCTTTTTCGGTAATGGATTTTATTTTTTATATGCACCTATTGTTAACCCAAAAATGTCAGCATTATAAAATTTAGCATTGTACGTTTGGGTCATTTGGTACAATGGTGCTCGCTTGCCAGCATTAGTTCGACTTTTTTTTAATTTCAATAATCTAGGTGTTCGTGTATTACGCAATGAAACTCGATTGGGTACCAAGAAATATATGTAGCCTAACAATTGAGGACAATTTAAATTAGTGACGTGATATTTGACGATCATATATGACAAAATAAAAATTAATATAACATAAATATGTATTAATAAACTTCTAAGTAAAGTTTACCAAAAGTTATGTAATTAATTACGCATCGTATGAACACCCTACAGATTAGGTATACACACACACACACACTCGCGCGCGGCGGCGTAGTGTTGTATCAGCACGCCGCCGCACGCGTTCACACTTGGAACACTTGGAACGTGTACACACTTTATTTATTTATACGGAAATTTGGTCAAAAATTAAGTACCTATTTTTTTTACATAATTCGAATAAGAATCATGTACCGAGTATGTTCCTTAAATATTGATAGTAATTCACCAGTCACCCTGTATAAGGACATTGCACTCAAAAGTTTTCTTCTCGATGCAAGACTCCCCAGTTTATATTTATCGAGCAACTTAGAGTATGACAGGTAAGAATGAAAAAAATTGTAATGTAATGAGCGCAAATACCGACGTTGCACATTTTCTATCTGATCAACATATTTATTGTAAATGGGGTTCCAGATTTGTAATGCATATTCAAGTTGTGGTCTGATTAAACTGGTATACGTATATGGTATGAGCGTAGACGGATTTTTAAAATCTTCAAAAATTGCGTTACGTAATACTTGAACGCTCCCTAATTCCGTCGATATGTAATTTGTATCTAACACCAATTTAAATATATGTATAGAATCAATATTAATATATATTAAAAACGGCTAGGAGGAACCGTACATAATGATTCACAATAATAATATATCTGAAACTTCTAAAAACATAAAAGAAATATAAAACCAAAAACTGTCTTCACATTTAACTGCTGAGTCAAACCCGTGTAGAATAGACGAGTTTACCCTCAAGCTAAGGCGTCTTCTGATTACACCCTATAAAGATAATTATTTTTTAATTAAACGACCACTTATGACACCGTCACACAACAAAGTGATGCTTATATTTAATTATAAATGGTTCTTTGTGTAGTATTATTTATACATATACAGTAACCTGTTTTTCTCCTACACCTCTCTGTTCAAGACGCTGTGTGTGGCGGGACCTTATAGAGGTGCAACACGTCAGCACACTCAGTTGCTGCTTCGACGTCGTGGTTCTGATACTACGCCTCTCACTGTTACCGCCAAACTAGACCCGATATATTCAATGTTAGATTTATTGGTGAGTAGGTATAATTGGTTGTAAATGGCCAAAGATGAAAGATGGAAACAGAAGAAACGGAAAAGATAGAATGTGTCTGCTAGTCGAGTCCTACTTGAAATAGAATTTTTATGTCTAACTCAAGTCAAACTCCCTTCAACATTCGTAAATCTGTATAATGTTTTATCTTTCTTTTGGAGCACGTTAATAGCACCTCAGTTGACACACATTTTTTGCTTACTAACCTTTGGTATTATTTTACTACAGCAAAATATTTGTAGAAGAAGAAGAAAACTGATGGGCCATAGTTAAAGGAATGAAGTTCCTTTAAACTTAATAATAGTTTTAATCGGTAATAATCGGGTATAATTAGTCTGGGGACGGAATTATAACACCGGAATTATAATAAATTCGTAGAATAATCGTGCACGTATTTTATACTGGCACAACTAGTACCTAGTGGGGAGAGTGGAGGCATCGAATGACGCTCTCGGTGGCGTGATCGGTACACGCGTCGTTGACATATTCTTGTCTTGTGATACGGTTTGAGATGTTTTTTTTTTATAGTAAAACAATGAATACTTTTTATTTTATAAACAATTTAACCAACGTCGACTGTTACAGGTAACGATTGGTACGCTGTCTGTCGTACCAGTAATAGTCTGATCCTGTGCGATATAGCTCGTGGTCTAACTAGCGAAGTGAGTTATATTTTCTATCGAACTTGTATATTATAAGGTTGGGATTGGAGATTGAAATAAAACATGTCGGATGCTCAAATGATACTGATTGACTGTGTATTCGTTGTTCTAATTTATAAGTTACATACATGTGTGTACATCATACACTACACCTCCCATCGAGGGGAAAAAAAATATTACGAATAGTACATATTTTTTTTTACATATATAAATTTTTAACATTATGTATATAAGTATGAATTTGTTAACATTACAATAACATATTTTATGTATACGTATAATTATAATATTATTTTTGACAATACAATTTTATAAGCTATAAAATGATTAGGTGCATATCCGATTACAATTAATTCATCGTGCAATATAAGATGAGTCACTAATCCTAAGTGTATATAAACTTACATAGAGTTCTATCATTATGTTATTCGTAATAAGGCTTAGTTCTATTCTTATGAATA